GTGGTCCTAATATTCCTTCACAAAAGTGCTGATATACCTAGTGAAAGAAAAGGTAGTAAGTCTTGACAGTGTGTTGTCGAATTATTCATTTTATTATTTTTGGCTAGTGGTGATTAGTTTCTTGTATGTGAGAGATGAGGAAGAAAAAGGTCTAAAGTATAAATTTGATTGTTAGATGCTTAAAAACAACCCTAGCTGTCTCTCTTGACCTTGTTCATTATGGAAAAAGGGGTTTATGGAATTGTATTGACATCCTGGTGGTGTCTCATCAATGGTAGCTTCCTTAAATTTACCATGGGAAACGTAATACCACTTCCTCCAATTCAGCACCACAAGTCAGATCACACTTTGAAATAATAAAAGGAACAAGGATGAAACCTCCTAAGGGTACTAACCTCATCACAGCACATATGGCTCAGTCTGTCTCATACCTTATATGGACAAGCTGAAGGTCTTGCAGAAAGTTTTGTAGTAGAGGTATTCACTGCTTACACTTCTGTAAATGCTAAAAGGTTTCTGTTCAACAGCTTTAATGTTTAGAACCGAGAATCTATAAGCCTCAGTGCTCTGCTTGGTTCCTCTTTATTTTTCTAGAGAACTAACACATATACTGTATGGGAAAGTGTCATCTTAGATTTAAAACTGCTCAAAAGACATGTTTGTGGTGTTTGTATAAAAACTGTACTTGACCGTTGAAATAATGAAATGATTGCTGAAGTAATCTTCAGTCTTCTGCTCTTTTCTGTTTAATATATTCATCTATTAATCAGACACTTTGATTAATAATTATTTATTAGTGGAACATGCCACTTCCTCAAAAAGACCTGCTACCTATCACTTTTCAGCTAATTATTTCTAAAGAATATTACAGTACGCAGTCCCTTCAGGTTGTATATTTGTTCTTCTTAGATGATGGATTCCAGATGGTCAGAAAACCCTGGTTTTCTGATCCCCCAATGAATTTTCAGATTATCCATTTTGGTTGTTTCCCACTAGCTGATAATGCTGAAAGTGAATTATCCATGAATTTAATATGCTTTAAAACTGTTTTTCTTTTTTGTGCAACAGCACACCCAGGCTTGTGCCTAACAGAGCCCTGCATTACTGTGGCCAGTGCGGTTCTGGGAGCAATGGACCGATCCGTAGATCCCTGCCAGGACTTCTATAACTTTGCTTGTGGGGGCTGGATAAAAAACAACCCACTATATGAGGGCAAGTCCCGCTGGGGTTCTTTCAGCAACCTGTGGGAACACAACATGCTTGTAATGAAGCAGTTATTAGGTAAAGATTCTTTATTTGAATGCAGTTCTGGGTTTTTTAGCTTCTTTTACCCCCATATTTTTAGCTTGTTTTTCACTGGTGTGATATCATTGTATTTGGGCAGAAAACACAACAATGAAAGGTTTAAGTGATGCTGAAGAAAAGGCCCAGCGATATTATGAGGCCTGCATGAATGAGACCAAGATTGAGGAACTGGGAGCTAAGCCACTCCAGCAACTAATTGACCAGGTATGGTTATTCACCTTTAAAAGAAATCATTTTTATCAATTTTAATTAAATTTATTTTCTTGGCTCCATTAGTTTCTGAAAGTGTGCTTAATTCCTGTCTGTTCCAGATCGGAGGATGGGGTCTTACTGAACCTTGGGACAAGGACAACTTCCAAAAAGTTCTGCGAACAGTGTCTGCCAACTTGCGTACTACTCCTTTCTTCACTGTGTATGTCAGCACAGACTCTAAAAACTCCAGTACTAACATCATCCAGGTGAGAACAGAAGTTAAAGGTTTAACAGCTTCCTCGAGGACAGGTTTTATCTGTTATTCTTGGACCGATTCCTTTGTTGTTGCTACAGTATTAGTCTGTCTGCTTTCAAATGAATTCATTCCTTTTGTAGGGTATCACAAGACTATGACAAAGGAAAAAGTGGGATCTCTGGCAGGTTTCTGCATTAGCCTGCATGCTGGAGCTGCCAGGCTAATGCAGAAACTTGCCGAATGAAAACAAAAGGGCTGATTTTGAGCTTATACAGAGGCCGAACGGAGTCATAGGCTGTTTCTCTTAACACTAGGTGGATCAGACCAGCCTGGGACTACCTTCACGTGATTACTACCTCAACAAAACTGCAAATGCAAAGGTATTGTCTACAGTGTTAGACTGGTTTTAGTTACGACAGTTTGCATGCAAGGGTGCACAGTAATTTAAACACACCCTGAGCCTCGCTGCCTTGTTACAAAAGGAAGTAAAATATTTAATATTCCTATTTTGGCCTCGGGGATAAACTCTGCATAGTAGCATGTGGGTCCATAGTTTGAATTCTTTCCTAATTTAAGTTTATAATGCATTCAAACATTTTCTCCATACAACCCTGTCTCAATGTGCTGCCTTTCTTTATAGTATCTGACAGCATACCTCAACTTTCTAGTGGATTTGGGAGTTCTTCTGGGTGGCACAAAGGAAGGTTCTCGGGCCATGATGGAGGAAGTTTTAGATTTTGAAACCACCCTGGCCAACATCACAGTCCCTCCGGAGGAGAGAAGAGATGAGGAGCTCATTTACAATAAGATGGAGGCAAAGGACCTGACAGTGAGTGTCTCCAGAGATCTCGTCTTCTAACTTCAGCTTTAACCGCATGTTTCTGGGGTTCCAAAGCTACCTCAGTTCCTACTGCAGACCTAACAGGCCCTGGAGCATGTCTTTGTTAGCGATTGTGTAAAGTCTTTCCCAGTTGAGTATAATCTTTAGATGTGGATTGCTACAAGACACATTTATACTGCACTCTTGTGTAACAACAGTACTGGTTAGTAAGAGCGATTCTGTTGCTTCAAGCTTGGAGTAAGCATTTCATGTTTTTTTTCCTAATATTATAGGTTTCTTATGTCTTTGTTCTGTTTGTGGCTGGCTTTATGCTGCACACTGTATGCTTGCATGTGATACCTTGTAGCCAGATCAGGAAATGCTGTGGTTTACTGAGAGCCTTTGTGTGACTGCCATTTGGAGATTTTTGGGGTGAGTGAAGTCAGATAGGCAAAGTATGCTGAACTTCCAGTGTAGGCCTCAGTTTTGATGGTATCGGCAAAGGGAAGAACAAATGTTTGCAGTATTTAAACTTCAAATGTCAGCTGCACTGTGAATGACCATGAATGTAAGTCTTTAAGATCACTATAAAGAAGCCCAGACTTTTCTCATCGTTCCTCAGTTGCTTGTTTTGTGTGTTGCAGACTCTGGCTCCAGCAGTGGACTGGATGCCATACCTCAGAGAAATGTTTGCTTCTGTGTCACTTAATGAATCAGAGCCAGTGGTGGTTTATGCCAAAGAATACCTCCAGAAAGTGTCTGACCTCATAACTAAAACAAATAAAAGGTGAGGTGCAAAGAAACTCTTAATCATTTTTTTTCTTTAACATGTCAAAGACAGGTTGCATAACGTTATGTGAACACAGCTATGTAAATATCTGTTCCCTTAGATTTATTATGCAGTCAAATAAATAAAATGGAGCAGAGGAGATCAACAGTCTACAATAACTCTTGTACATTTACATGATAAGACCCAACTGTTTGGATTTATTATTGTGAATTGCCCCTTCTTCAATTAACATTTACTTTTTTTTTTTTTCTTTTTTTTTTGGTAAGCGTTCTCAACAACTACATGATGATGAAAGTAGTGAGAAAGATGGCCTCAATTTTGGACCAAAAGTTCCAGGATGCAGAGCAGCGTTTCCTTGAGGTCATGTATGGAACCAAGAAGGTAAGGGATGAAGCCTTAGGCCTTGTCACTATAATCAATGTCTTCCTGGTTATCTCAACACTCGTTGGGCATATTGGAATGCATCTGGGCACTGGCAGTTAAATTGGATATAAAAACATGTCAAACCAGCTTTAACTGGTGTTAATGTTAAATCTGTGCCACATCAATTTTTATGTATTTCTATAATACTGCTTCTGTAGGGATGGTTCTATCCTTTTGTGATCCTAAGTAAATTAAGTTCACATCAGTAATCAGAAGGCAGTTTATATTGTAAAGACTCTACAAATTCTAGCAATTAGACAGCCCTTATATGTGCAACCATTTGGCAGCAGTGGGGAGGAAGAACTTTAACATTTGTCTTCCCCTCCTGTAGTCTGGTGGCTGTTAAGGGATGGGGGGGGTCTCTCAGTGGTGAGCCTATAGCAGCATAACTAGGAGATGGTTTGAGGTCACCTGATCCAGCCCTAACTGAGCTTTATCAAACAGCCTTGCATCTAATCTTAAAGTAGAGAGGGTGTCTGTCTTCAGAATCCAAGCTGGAGAGGTGTCTAATAGCAGAAGGCTCAAACTTGCATTATAGATCGCCTTGAGGCGACTTTTGTTGTGATTTGGCGCTATATAAATAAAATTGAATTAAATATGCACTTTCTCAGAAACGAGTGGCAGTAACAGCTAGGGGCAGAAGTAAGAATAAAATGAATATGTAAAGTGTTCACTTCATAAAATGCAGACATAGTAACAGGAATCTGCAGTTCTTTGTTTTTACTTGCATTTGAAAGTTTCTGGGTTGATTCAGAAATGACAGCTTGTTGAGTAATTCCTGCTTTAAGAGTTTGCTCAGTGACATCATGTAAGCATACAGTCTTGTGACATTTAAATTCAGATCAAAGGGTGCATTCACAAAAATGACAGCAAGTTTGCTCACCTCACTCATTATGTTAACTTTGTAGAGAGCGGAGTTAAACTATCCAGGTCTTGAGTTGGCTGCTACATAAATACAGTGGCAGTAAATGACGTCACACCTCCCCAGAAAAAGTACAGATAATCTGCAGTCTTGTGAATGCAAAGTATTCACAGTACTTTCCTATAATTAAAAAAAATGGCTGACATACTAAGAGCAGTTAACAATTTCAACTTTCTACAGAGCAAAGGTTGATATGGAGTTATTTTTACATTAAATAAAACCCAAATGATTTGCTCTACTAAACACAATGATACTACAGATTTTATTTTTCAAACAAAATAAAACTTTGTGGAAGGTCAGCTCAATCTCTAAAGATGTGCTTCCTGTTTGACTGTGAATACTCCAGTGACTTCATCCCTTATTGGAGGAAGATCTGTTCCCTGTCTCGTTACCCACTGGGGTCAAGCTGAAATAACAAACAATACTCCGCGTGCGTCTTTGTTTCTGTTCCACATCTCATTTTCCATCTGTATGCCGAGCGGATTGGAACGTTTTCTTGCTCTGAACACTTGCGTCCTTTTTTTGCCTACAGCTGTCATTTTACCTGAAGATAAACTTATGTTAGTCTAGAGGTAGCAAAATTAGACTTTGCAAATACAAGGAAAATCTTTAAAAACAGTTATGAGAAAAATTAATGTTGTAATTGCAGAATTTAATTTGAATAACTGAGGTGTGTTTTAAAGTGTATTTTAGATTAAGGGGAAAATGACAAACGTAACTACTTAACAAATTAAAGTTTCTAGTATCAGTGTCTTGTGACTCAGGGCAGCATCAAAAATTGGGTGTGGCATGTAGAGTGCTGTGAGCTATATACAATCGCTGAGCCTAGAGAGATAAAATAACAGCACAAAGGTCATAGACAAAGCAATTTATCAAGTATATGGTTCACTTTCTATCAGAGCTCTTGGCATCCTTCATAAAATTGTTCCAAAAAAATAGTAGTTACGTCTTAATTATATATTGTAACAGCAGGAATGCAATAAGCAGGATGCAGACCTCCACTTCAAAATTGGTGAATTCATTTCTAGCCATTTAGATCTGTTTATCGTAGTCAGGGTTCTAGGCAATTTAAATGCAGCAAGTTAAAACTTATGCAGATTAGTCATGTGTAATCCAGGAAATCTAGGAGATGGTGACTAATCTGAAGCAAGCAAAATATGGCAGCCTAAAAAAAACACTCCAAGGCAAATGATACCTAACAACCAGTGAAGGGTGCATCGTTTTCTTTAACGTGTCTTGGGTTTTTTGCAGAGCTGCACTCCACGCTGGAAGCTGTGTGTCAGCGACACAGACAGTGCCTTGGGCTTTGCTCTTGGCGCGATGTTTGTCAAAGCCACCTTTGCTGAGGACAGCAAAGCCATTGTAAGTGTTTCAAGGTTCTTCCTTCAAAATAGCATCTGCGAGAGATAATTGACGTCTCTTTGTCTTCCTGTGCTTCAGGCGGAGAAAATGGTTACAGAAATTAAGCAGGCATTTCAGGATGGATTGAAGTATGTGAGCTGGATGGACACAGAAACAAAAAAGGCAGCAAAAGAAAAAGTGGGTATAAAGGATCCCCCTGATGCTTTATGGTGACATCTGTGCATGAACTGTTTTCTGTGTAGAAGTGGCAGAGAAATGCAGCACTGCCATCTGCTGTGAAAATATGTCTCTTACAAATTGTCATCTTTCACAGGCAGATGCAATATACAACATGGTCGGGTATCCTGAATTCATCATGAATGGCACGAAACTGGATAAAGTGTTCAATGATGTAGGTAAATGGAAAAGTGGATTACCGGTCCTAACTTCTCACTTTTGTTTGTCATGGTCTCTTTTGCCCGCTTAAAATGCTGAATTTTATTTTGTTTGATTCCTCTTTCAGTTTGCTGTGGTGTCAGGCCTTTACTTCCAGAATGTTATGCAGTACTACAATTTCTCAGGCAGAGTGACTGCAGACCAGCTGAGGAAACCTCCCAACCGAAACCAGTGAGTTCCTCAGTTTTAACCCTCTTTCCCACCATCCTTCTCACATGGGAGGTAGCACACGGTTATGGGAGTGAAGTTCTACTGGCGTGTGTGCATTGTACTGATGTAGCAGAACCAAACTTTGTCTCTAATTGAGCTATGGAGGAGTGGTTAGATTAAGGTTCCCATTAGTTTCAAACTGATCTGAAGTCTGTGTGGGAACAGGACCTTGATCTCATGAGGTGCATTCTTGTGCCTTGTTTTGCAGGTGGAGCATGACCCCTCCAACAGTAAATGCCTATTACAACCCAACAAAAAATGAGATGGTTCTGCCTGCAGGAATCCTGCAAGTTCCATTCTACAGTCGCTCTTGGCCTAAGTATGTTCTCAATGTTCTATCAGAGTTTGCTAAATGAAGTAATTAACGCTAACTTTATTCTGCTGTGAAAAGCATTTATATTTGGCTGACAAACTGACAGTCACATTTACTCACATTCATATACTACTGAGATTCAAATCCAGAACTGCTGCTTTGAGGCAACAGTGCTAACAGCTGTTCCACCCAAACACAATTTTCCACCCTTTCAGTCTTTGTGTTCACTTGAAGCCAGTAGCCACTTAGATTAACGTGAAATACAAATGACGTTCTCACACTTGAGACCAGCACCTACACTATTTAAGCCTTTGAGGTCTGATTCATCATGGGTGACGATATCATAGGCGATCAAAAGATGTCCGTTTTGGCTTTAAATCATTGTTGGTGACTTAAACCTCAGCAAGTCTGTTTAACAACCCTCTAAATTTTCTTTATTGTGTAGAGCTCTCAATTTTGGTGGAATTGGAGTTGTCATGGGCCATGAGCTGACTCATGCATTTGATGACCAAGGTAAAATTCTTAATTTGTATTTTCAGAGTGACTTAAACTTGACCTAAACTAATAATATTTGTATTCAAAGGCAGGGAGTATGATAAAGATGGAAACCTACGCCCTTGGTGGAAGAACTCTTCTGTTGAAGCTTTCAAGACGCAGACCCAGTGCATGGTGGAGCAGTATGGCAATTACAGCATCAACCAAGAGTCTCTGAATGGAAGACAGACGCTGGGAGAAAACATCGCTGACAACGGTGGACTCAAGGCTGCTTACAACGTCTGTCAGATAAGAAGCACAGCTCACCTTGAAACCTCATGAAATATTTAAATGTGCAGAAAGGGGCTTTCTGTGAGCAATGCTGGTATAAGACTGTATTTGGGTTATAACCACGTTTTGACACATTGCATGCTTACAAGGTCAGAAGAGCAGTGCACAGATTTGCCATTAAGCCCCTGTAGCAGTTTATCTCAGGCCTGCTGTGGGTCATATCCATTAATCTGTATTGGAAAAAGGTTGTCTAGTTTACAGTGAAGCCTGGAAATGCAACAGGTGGCTATGAGTGGCCTTGTCAGCCTCTAGTTACTACTTCACATGCACACATTCTTTCCATGTAATGAAAGGTCATAAGCTGCGAGGCAGATGACCAAATGCTATAGACGCAAAAGTGATGCCCTAGAAGTAAATTGAGGTGCTTCTTGTTTTGAAGGCTTATTTAAACTGGATTAAAAAGAATGGGGAGGAGGCCACGCTGCCAGCGCTGGGAATGACGAACCATCAGCTGTTTTTCGTGGGGTTTGCCCAGGTTTGTACCAACACTGCTTCTGTTTTAAAGCCTTAAAGCACACCCCAGATGTGTATTGAGCTGTAAACTGTTCAGAATAACAATTTGTGGTTACCATCTTGGCTTGGTTCTCAGCGTTGCATTTACCACACTCAAAGGATACACAAGTTTGCCACACTTGTTCTTGTTGTTTTCTGACAGGCTCTAAGAAAGCTGGTATGTCACAGATCTCGATTGTATGCAAAACCATGGCTGTAGGAAGACAAGACCTATTATAAGCTTTGTAGTGTAAAACTCTGTAATAAACACCAATGCTAAAACACTGCTATAAGATGGGTGGTGGAGGGGACAGGTTTGAATGGAGAGATTTTGATCTTAAAGTCAAGATATGCTGCTCAAAAATTAAAGGAACACTTAAATCACACACTGGATCTTGATGAATAAAATATGATAGTCGGAAAGTACATACTAGTCTGTGGAATTGAAAATCACTCAAAAAATCAAAGTGGGAGGCAAATCAAACTTTTTGGGCTTGTCTTGTTGTTGCCTCTCAAATGTACCTGTTGCCATGGTAATTTGCACCAAAGCAAATTATTCTCAACAGCTTTTTGAATAACTCTGAAGGATTAGGTAGGAAAATAACTCATTCTTTTTGTCTCATCTCTGTTCCTCTCACAGGTATGGTGCTCTGTCAAGACACCCGAGAGCTCACATGAGGGCGTTATGACAGATCCTCACAGTCCTCCGAGATTCAGGGTCATCGGCACAGTGTCAAATTCACGTGAATTCTCAAAGCACTTTGGATGCAAAGCAGATACTCCCATGAACCCAAATCACAAGTGTGAGCTTTGGTGATGCCTCGTTGATCACGGAGTTTAACAGGAGTGAAACTGACACTGGGGGTGGGGGTTGTTTAAGATGCCGACAAAGCCTCATGAGACTGGGATGCAGGTATCACTGAAAGTCCTCTTTTGCTACTTAGTGCTTATCAGGCTGTTTATCGAGACAAAATGTGGCTGCTGTGTTGGAAGGATTGCAATCTTCACTACTTCTATGCAAAGACCGTTTTAGCAAACTGCATTCCCCGAAATTGAGATTTAATGTCGCTTTATTTTGTTTTTGGTTTGTTTGAACGCTTTGAAAAACCACCTGATAGTTACGATGGAGGAACCACTCTTCTGGCTTCATATTTTCAAATGAGCAGATTAATGGGACTTTTTGTTACTTTCCACTGAGCTTTTATCTGCTGCTTTTATTGAATGTTATATTTAAAGTTTTTGTTCTTTTATACAAGTGAACCAGGAATTAAAAGTTGTTGTTTTTTTTTTTTTGTTTGTTTTTTTTTTTAACCTGAGGAAAGTGCAGTTAACACTGTTTTTGTTTGTTTTTTAAAGCCATTAAAGGGTAAAAATACTGTTTTAATGATGCAAGTGTTTGCCTTTTAACACTTAATATTCCCAAAATATGTGTACAGTTTGGTCAGTGTCATTCAGAACTTGAGTAAGCAAAGCCACAATGTGCCATACCCATTTATACATTTTGTCACAAATTTTGTACATTAAAACCAATCTAGAAACATTTCCCTTGTTCAGTTTATTTGATTCATGCATCACTTTAATTCACAGGCAAGATTCTGACCTGACACACGGTGACCAGAGGCTCAGATTCTGCATAGGTTTTGTTTGGGTCCAATGGTCTTCCCTGGGATAATTTTTGGTGTCATTTGACTTTTTGCGAAATATTTTCTGCATCAGTTTCATTGAAATGTCTACAAAAAGAGTTGGGCACAGGTGACACCTGCCAAATTCATAGACTAGAAGTTAATGCTGTAAGGTTCTTCCACTTTAGTGGAGTTTTATTTTTGGTTTCCTTCCTTTAGCAATACAATCCTAGAGGAGTTCATTATCCCTCTTGATTAAATGTGATAATCTGGCTTTCTGTTATCTTCCATTTGCCTTGATTCAGGTGTAATTTGAATTTCTGATATTGGGTTACTTTGTCTTTTACAGTTATAGGTGTAAATGCACATGTTGCCTGATCATAAATGAGATTTTTAATGGCTCAGACATGTTCAAAACCTTTGTGCATTCAGAACATTTCATGTAGACCAGTTTTGATTTTTGTCAGAAACTAGTACAAAATATGATTAGGAAAAACTAGCATGTATGAGGGTGGAAATTGGCTCACCGCTTGAGGTTTTTGTTTTTTCTAAATGTTCTGGCTCCTTCATGGTCATTACCCTGCCTATGCGTGCAGGGTACTAGAGGATGAAAGGATGTACAGCTGATGCATATCTTCTTTTTTTTCTTTTTTTTTTTTCTTAAGTCCTCTAATTCTATTGTTTTCACCACCTCCCAACTTAAGGTACTGCACTAAGTCATTAACTACTGAAAATTTTCAATAAAATGTACTGCTAGTCCTTTTAAGGTGATGCAAGATGTGGATTCCTCCTTGGACTATCTTAAAACATCTTGGGCATCTGTTTTGTAAATGAATAGATTGAATATGGAAGGCAATCTCAAATTGTTTTCCTTGTGTCTCAGATTTTTAAGTGGGGTAAAGGGTCTTTCACTGGCTCACTTTAATTAAAAAAAAAAAAATAATAATTTAAAAAACAAACAAAAAAAACATCAGTGCTGTGTTGTAATGCTGGTATTCCCAGGTCATAATGCACCAGTTTGGTCGATTGGGGTTGCATTTAGTCCGTAATTTGTTTGATATTCGTGCACTTAAAAGGGGTGAATTGGGAACAATGAATTAGGATCTTTAAATTCATGATTAATTTCACTGGTCTTGCCTACTTGAGATCGACTTATGAAGTAAATTAGTTGGGCATCCTTGATCTAAGGGAAATGCCTTGCGACGCAAACGCGAGAACGGTAGATGGCAGTGATAACACACAATTGTTAACGCACAGCGCTGGTACTTCAATAGCCGAATACGTAAGATGATTATTTTTGTCCATACAGATACCTAATTTACTATAAACACCTGTGCAATCTCATTAATTTATTTTAGTAGTAATAAAAGGAGCCGTGTTTGTTACAGTTAGCAGTTACAGTCGTGATGAGACCGTTATTAATTCTAATTTCAAACTGGATTTTAAAATAGTGAAAAACTGATTTGGAACACATTTGGGGAGCGTCAGCCACGCCGTTTTCGTGTTTTGATTGAAGGTTAGTTGATCACCCGAGCGATTCCGTAACTGGCCGAGGATTGCCGAATCATCTGTCCTGCCCGGACTGCTGGAAGCGGCCGCAACGCCATGTTGGCGAAGTCTCTCATCTATGTGCGAAAAAAATGATAGAAAACACACTTGCCGAGAAGAAAAGGTAGATCGCCGAGGGAGGTTGAAGATCGCGGCGATTGTTTTTTTTTTTAAACAGAAACGAACCGAGCCGGATCCGCAGAGGTTCCGGACGGGTGAGGGAGGCTAAACCTCCCACCGTCCCCATGAATAGCACCGCTGATCCTAACAGCGACTTTCCATGAAAAAAGACGTTTGTGTTGCTATTCGAGCTTCGTTATCCCAGTTCGTTAAAGGGATTTTGGGGCCTGCTTCAAGAATCCGCAACGCTTGCTCTATGTATGCAGGCTAGGCGCTGTTTGCATCAGTATTTATTAAGATATTGTTTTTATTTGTTATTGATTTTTTTGCGATGAGTTTGCCACCGAAAGTGGTCCCCAAACCCGCCGCTGTCGCAGTTAGCGGACCTGGAAGTGGCCCCTCTCCGTCGAGCCAACTGCGGGCTACCCTGACCTCCGTGTCTCTGCCGCCGGGAGCCCCAACTGCTCCTCAGCCCGGCGCTGTTCAGCCACCCCAGTATCCTTTGACGTGGGTAACGCAGAAATTACTTGTGTTTTCATGCATAATTTTCCCCTGTGACTGTAGCACATACAGATGTTTAATTAGCGATTAATAGCAGAGGTTGGACGTGGGGATGATGGTTTCGTTTGGAGGGAGCTGGGAGGGGAGGGGACAATTAGCTAGCTAACTGTGCTAACGTTAGCTCCTGAAGCCGGTTGTCAAAGCTAACGGAGATGCGAGTTTAATTTTGGGGGGAGTTGACGCCACACCACTGATTATCAGATATAACTGGCATGTTCCAATAAATGTGGTGGTACATGATAATGTTAAATAAAGAGGTACTATTAGGTACAGTAAAGCTTTATCACCGTATCTCAACACCGGTTACCGGCTTTGTTCAGCTTTGGTTGTTGACTAGCAAGGTGCAGTTATTGCACGGTGCCAGCTAGTTAATGCTAGCAAGTGTCCAAGTCCGTCAATGCAGCGTCGCAAAGCAGTGCAGCTTCCTGTGGCTTTATTATATGTAACGGAGCTAATGGTACTTGCTTAAGATTTAGGCCCGGCTTGTGGGAAATGGACACAGCTTCCAGTTTTACATTAACGTTTTGTTTATTTGTGCATCCGGAGAGGCCTGTCAGTGCCAGAGCTGAGCTGTCATGGTGACAGCCGTCAGAAAGATGCTCGCTTGTTTTAATGACCGTCTTGACTCTTATAATGAAGTCTGGTTTGGTATGATTACAGTCAGCTGAGAAATCTCTTTAAAATTTCTTCACAACCATTTCTGTTTGTTCTCCTAAGAATCTGTCTCCAAATATTTAACAGGCACTGTGTAATTATATATAAAAAGTTTATAATAATAATTATTACGGCCTTGTGCTCTTACTCTTACTCTCCTTTGGGTGTACTAGGGGATGGTCCAGTTTTAATCTCTACCCTCAATTTGGTGAAGTCATAGTGGTTATGTCAGCTTGTGTTTTATTTACAGCATGGTGTCAGTAGTGTGTGTGAGAGAGGATTAAGTTGATGTCTCCTGGCTGCCGGTGGCAGAGAGATGTATCTGTTTTGTGATCTGACAGCTTCTGCTGTGGCTTTGGGGTGTGATGGCTCAACCTGATTTCCTGCCTCCCACAGTCAGAGCCGCCCTGTGTTTATGACATCTGTAAGGGGCACCAAGTTGCTGGTTGTAGCAGGTGGTAGTATAAAGGTCCCTCTTGATTTGTTGCATGTTGTGATTTTTTTGATTTGTCTGTCAGTAAACCAAACACAACAGAAAAGATTAACATTCTCTTTATCTGCTGTGCTATGGCCTCTTTTGACTCTCAAGCTCTTTGTAATTGGTGCTACATTTGCTTAACCTACTTTCAGGTGCATGATAGTGAGGGCCTACTGACTGAGTACAGAAATACACCACCTCCACTTATCCATTTTAAACTTTGTTTAAGAAAGACAGATAACAGGAATCCACTTTTTGCGTGTAATTGTAAGTCACGGTTATTAAAAATTAGCTTAACCACACTGCCTTATTTGGTATGTTGTGCTATTGCCGGTTACTTTATGAGATTATTTGAGATTAAATTTGGGGTAAAACTGACTTGAATTAATGTGATTTTTAGAGAAAAAAAATTTTTTTATAATGTCCCTGTAGCTAGTTATGGCAACAAGATTAAACTGCCAGGACCTCTCTCCCTGAGTGGCATCCACTTTGCACTGAACCCCAGTGGCTCCTCTGGATGGAAGGCTCATAGAAGGGTGGGTTCATGTGGCTCTTTCGGGCTGGGCCCACCGAAGGTCCTCTAATAGGCCTGATTCCTGCGCGGGGCCCTGGAATCCTGGGCAGGGCAAATGGCTTCTCTGTATTCCTTTTCTTTAGCGGGGTTTTCTGAATCACACTTAGTCTGGTCCCTCACCTAGGATAAGTTTGTCTAGGGAGGTCCTACTAGGGGCAAATAACTCATGACAACAAAGCTTCTGGGACCACTTGGGCATGGAGACCCCACCCGCACTCCCCTACATATCCCATGACCCAGCACCATGGTAAGGTAGAGTAGAGCCCTTCACATAGATGAGCAACAAATGAGATGGTTCAGGCACCTGACAAGGAGGCTGTCCTTGGCACCTTGGTGTTTTGGGTTTGTCCATATTAGGAGGAGACCCAGAGCCAACCTCAGGACACTCTTGAGAGATTACCTTGGTGTCCTCCTAGGAAGAACTGGCAGAGGTGACTGATAAGGGACACTACTATACTGTGACCCTATAACCCAGATCAGTGTCAAAAAATGGATAGGGTTCACAATGAGTATTACTTTCACTGAAATTCTGATCATTCCTTGTTCTTTTGTTATTGATTGATTAAAAAAAATGCCTGGTGTGGCACGTTAACTTCTTTTTAGCTCTTAAGCAATAAAAAGACGCTGTGGGCTCTCTTCAAAAAAGAAATAATCAGACCAATGATAAACAAATATTTTCAATTATTTTTGATTTAATTTAGTGAAGCATAAAATACACTTTAGTCTATCCAGAGAGCAGAAATGCAATTGTCAATTCACTTTGACAATGCACTATTTTTAAATACATCATACACAGCAGAAAGGTCCCACATGGTACAGATTTTTATTACTCTTTTGTAGTATTTTATACACGTTTTCATTATTATTATTGTTATTGAAATCACTCAGTTTAGTGTTGGGCTCTAAAAACAACTTTTACACCTGTTGCCACTTCAAAGCCCTGTTTTCTTGTTGTTTTCAACGTATATGCTGCAGACAGGAAATACAATTTCTTTTGAAATATATAAGTGTCAAAGTCATCCTGGCTGATGTCATTCAGCAGGATAAACAAACTCAAGGAGACGAGTAAATGTTGGTTCCGATGTTTGACCGATGAATGTGGGTGTGTATTTGTTGATGGTGTAGGTTCAAGAGGTGATCACCTCGGTAGTTATTTTGGAGTCTGCATTCTGCAGTGGTTTTGTATTCAATTTTATCAGGAGGAAATAGCAGTCTAAATTAAACTGTATCTGCATCAAGTTAGTGAAGTTAACAGTAAAATAAACTAAGCCAATTTCTTCTGGGCCTTCCCTGTTACTTTACAGATTCCTGTGAATACACTAGACTGTACAGCATTTGAGTTTTATGTCTGTATGTAAACAGACTGTCTGAGTGTTGCCACTAGGCTGACCTCTCACTCTGTTGTGACCTCTAAGGTCAGGAGAGTGGGATCATATTACTCTCTGTCTGGCCTTGTGTGTGGGAATTTCTTCTTTGGCGAAGTTGCTGTGTGTCATTGTGGTTCCTGTGGGGGAACATGTGTGTGATGGAGGAGTGGGGGGGCCAGTTTGTCTGTTCCTGGTTGCCAGAGAGACCCCGAGCGCATGCGTCTGCTGCTACACTTGCCAGACAATGGCACTGCTGCTTAGCATTCAGAGAGAGAGAGGCCAAGGTGGCGCTTCCCACCATCTGCCAACAAAGGGCCAGGTCACCCAGCCTGCCTCAGCCCCCCCTCATTTCCTTCCATCCCCCCTCAGCTCACCTCACCCCACTGCTGAGCCAGCTGAGAAAACTGAGGGTTTCTCCTTATTTTTTTGCCCCCTGATCTTTTTTGTTGGTTCTCCTATCTAACTCCACAATTTCTAGACTTGCTCCTTTTTGTCTTTAGAATTTTAATAGTTTTTAAAATAATCTTTAGTGGTTGTGCCCTTAATATTAAAAAAAAAGAAGTGTCTTGAAAATTCCTGTAGAAGCCACTTGACTGCTATCTTTATATGCCTCTGGGAACTTATTTACTTATTTATTTTGAAGCAGGATCTAAAATCAGCTGTTATTTCAGTGGACAGCAGGAGATGAACACTGAACATGAAGATGATTGAGCGTGCGTCAAGGCTGCATACAAGATTTACTTTATTTATCCCAAAGATGTGAAATACATGTTACAGCAGTCTGAACAGTGGAATATGACGTTTACAAAGCTCATAAATACACAAAAGAAAGAAGCACAGGGTAAATAAAAAATAATAATTATAGGAGGTCATTTAAAAAGATAAAAATAATACAACTCAACTCAAATAAGTCAAAACAAATATATATACTGGTATGTGGTGTAAGGTAGTCCTGTAGTGTAGCTGAAGTAGAGGGTGCTTCTGTGCCTAGTAACTCAGTGGTGTTGAAAGATTTTATGGCAAAATATCCTGGTGCACATCTGTCAATAATTGCAGAAAATAGCCAATATGCTAGAGTGTCGTTAGCTTTTTTTTTGTTATATGTTGTCTTTTCATAACACCTTTGCAGCATATCGACCTAACATGGTACCATGTCTCAATAACTGGTTTTTAGGCAGTTGCAGTAATAGTGTTTGGTTGATGTAAAATTCTAAGGCACACTTGGACTTGCATCAACTATTGCAGTAAGTGGTGCAGAGGGTGATTATTTCAGTGACCCACTCTTTATATAGAGAATCAGTAGTATAATTTGATAAAAAACCTGCTGAAAGGGTTTGCAGACTTTGCCCCAACAAGGTTTTTCCCCCCTGGGATTTGTATGTCTGTCACCATCTTTGCTGTTGCATAATCCACCCATAGATTTCCGAGGATTCTTTGAGTGGCATGTCTCTCTCCCTTAATGTGGCCAGGCATGCAGTCACACTCAATGCTATGCATCTATGTAATGTATGTACCCAGCTGGTGGTTCTCACAGAACAGGAGTCCTGTATTTCAGGACAGGTGTGTGCAGCCTGCATGAGAAGATATTCTCATAAGCTCACTCACCGTGGGATGTTATAAATAAACTGCTGAGTTGTTATGAGCCAGCATTCAGGGCCGTTCTTTCCAAAGAGGGCGTGGCCTGTTGTAGAAGACGTCCTGTCAGTTCTCTCCCGGGATTACAATCTGAAGTGACATTTCCACATTGTGTATATTGTTTCTGTATTTACTTCTGCTAGAGCATTTCAGACACATCCTGGAATTAGTGGAAAACTGATATTTTCTTATCATGGACACACTGCTTTCAGCTGTTCTTATAATACTGTGCTTGGAG